CGCTGGTGGTCCCGCGGTGGGTCGTCTGGCCCCTTCCGGGTGTCCACAAGAGACAGAGGGATTTCCCTTCGCCGGAGTGTTCCTCTCCCGGCGTTTTCTGAGATGTCTATACCATTAGCTGGCTGGAGACAGCTTTAGCTAACGGGCTCCCAACGCCAGCGATGACAGCTGTCACCCCGAGCTTAAACTCTGACCCGTGTTCTTCCAGAGTAGCTGTTTCTTTGTGGTTAGGGCTCAACCAGCTCTTTCTGTTCCCCTTCTTCTCCTCCCCGCTCCGAGGGGGTCACGGGCATCCGTGCCTGACGCAAAGCCTTGTTCCTCACTGCTTTACAGCCTGAGTTTCGCAGCTGAGGTTGCTCGGGACTTCTCCATCCCCGTGCCAGAGCAGTGGGTGGACTGTGCTGAGAAAGTCAAAGTGCCCTTTGATGCGGAGAAGAAATACCACCCCGAGTATGACGGGTACAGCCCCGGTGAGCGGGAGGCAGCGGCAGACCTCCGGGGTGGCCACTGCCGGCTCCTTGTCAGCCCGCGAGAAGTGGGGGCTCCGGCGGGTTCGGACACGGGAGCGGCGGCTCGACAGTTGGCCGGAGCAAAGCTCTCCGGCGTTGCTCTCCGAGCGCAGCGCTGGGTTGCCAGCACGGAGAGCCCAGCTCGCAGCTGTGTGTTCTGCAAACACGGCTCCAAGGACAAGCCACAAGCTGCTGCTCTGGTCTGCCTTTAGCGGGGTTGTCCTCCCTGCGGAGCCACCACCTTCCCTCTCCCCTGTGGATGTGGCCTTGGTTGCTCTAAGTTGGCAGGAGTCGGAGTCATTCCCTGCAGGAGCTACAGACCAACGGTCCGCCGGTGATGCTGGACACGGTCTGACTGACCCCTCTGCCCAGGTGAGCCAGTGAAACAGGCTGACGTTGTCCTGCTTGGGTTCCCCCTGATGCACCCCATGAGCCCTGAAGTCCGGAGGAACGACCTGGAGATGTACGAACCCGTCACGGAGCCGGACGGGCCAGCCATGACCTGGGTGAGGAGAGGGGCTTCATGCCGAAGCTTTTGCCGTATTGTCACGCCTGGAGGTGACAGCAAGTGGTGAAGGGCCGTTTTTCTCACCCGCAGAGCATGTTTGCCGTGGGCTGGCTGGAGCTCAAGGAGGTGCAGAGAGCCCAAAGCCAACTGAACAAGTGTTTCCGCAACATCACGGAGCCCTTCAAGGTGAGCTGCCTGGTGTGCGGTGGATCCTTCCACGTGTCACACGCCTCTTGCCTGTTCCCAAGCAGGTCACGCCGCCAGGACTGGAGCCTGTGCTGACTGCACTGGTGGCCTCCAGGTTATTGTTGTGTCGAGCTAGGTGGTTGCACCCTCTGTCTCTTCTCTGCGTGCCTCAGAAGAGCAGTAAGGGGGCATCTGCTTCCTACCAGGCAACACAGAGCCACCAGTCAGTGTCATGCTCGCCCCAGGCTTCCTTCTGCCTGCCAGGGATGGGAAAGGGAATGGAGATGGTGGGGCATAGAGACGCGTCATGCCAGGATGGGCAGCAGAGCATGGTTGTTGTGACACCCCAGATACGTGACAGTGACAATAAGAAGCGTGTTCAAACCCACAAAACTGTACAAAGAGTCCCAGTGCAACTGTTGAGTCGCTTCTTTCTCTCGCTGGAGCAGATCTGGGTGGAGAACTCGGATGGGACAGGAGCCGTGAACTTCTTGACGGGGATGGGTGGATTCTTGCAAGCTGTCCTCTTTGGCTACACGGGGTTCAGGTGAGACCTGTGTTATGTCACGTTTCACTTCTAAGCACCTGCACGTCACTTGAAATGTTACTGTTTACCTGGAGCAGTGTGGGTTTACTCATGAGAAGGAAAGGAACTCACAGTGTCCAGAATATCCTCCACAGCTCCCAGCAGGTTAACGAACAAACAGGAATGTTAACGATGCCGGAGGAACTGTGGATACAGGAGGGTTAGTCGCTGGTGGAGAACAGGGTGGAGTTATGACAAATGATAAGCTTCGGTCCGTTTCTCCTCCAGCCACGTCAGTGTTGGAAGCCGTTGGCTTCAAAAGGAGTCAAAGGTTGGCCAGCATCGTTGATAGAATTTCAAAGCCGTGTCTCGTATCCACGGCGGCCTGGTGGTTCCAGCCCTGAAGCGACGGTCTCTTGAGCGTGTTCGCAGTCTAACTGAGGATGGATCAAACTGACAAACCTTTGGCGTTCCAGCAAACTCTTCTAGCACTAACTATGTGTTTTTACTCTGTGCGTGGGTGGCCAGAAGCTGCTGAGAAACCCACCGGTTTCTTGATGGAGCTGGGCGTGAGCTGCCGTATTCCCAGCTGAAAACCTCGATCTGGGGTTTCGTGAAGCTCAAAAGTCTCCAGCTGCTCTGTGTACGTTGGGTCAGCACAGGCTCAAGCCACAGCCTTTGGGGCTCCAGCCAAATCTCCAGATGTTGAGATGACGTTCACGCAGCCTTCGAGGCCACGCTCTTGCCTTGCCCGTTGTGAGCCGCGGGCCCTGGCTGGCGCGTTGCCGGCCGCTGAGGCTCTCCAGTCTCTTGAGTCTCTCTCAAGTCCTTATTGACCTGTTGAATCCACTCAACAGACTGGAGATGACGGTCAAGAGCTCTCGCGTGTCAAGATTTGAATAGGAGATAAGTGACCATCGTCCTTTTTCATCTCCACCAGGTGTGGGGTGGGCTCCCGCCGTCTCCTCGCCTGCGTTGTACAGCCGTGTGAGCAATGGCGGGCCAGCACGGGCGCTGGCTGCCGGGTGTTTTGGCTGAAGCTGAACTCCCGTCCCAAAAATCCCACCCACAGCCACCCCCTGAGCTCCGTGCGTGACCGGAGCTTAGCTCCGGTACTCGGCCCCGAGTCTGCGCCCGTAGGTGTGTGTGACCAGGTTTCGGTGGCGGTTCCTGTCTGGGGTCCACGGCACCTCCACTCGTTCCTGCGCCCCATTCCCCTCCTCGTCTCAGAGCAGGGCATTCCCAAGTTTCGCCAGCACAGCTGCTGCTGAAGCCACCCTCTGAACTGGGGTTGGGAACTGAGCTGCCTTGGAAGGAAAAAATGGAAAAAACATATTTTTTTCTTTTTTTAATTAATAAAAAAATTAAATCCGACCTAATGGAAACCACAGACCCCACGTGAGGAACTGGAAGGGGCCAGGAACGCCTTAGGGTGGGAAGCTGCGAAGTCACGGCCTTGGTAGCTCTTCACCAGGTGCTTCATCGGTGTGTTCAGGATCTGCCCGGAGATCCTCGGGACACACCAAGGGCTCTTCCCACCCATGGCTGCGGGTGCTGGGGCATGGGGGGCTGCGCTCTCCAGGGAGGTGGCCGACCCCACCGGGCTGCTTCCCTTCATTCCCACTGCTGACGTGCTCCTGCCTTTCCAGGATCACGAGGACCAGCCTCTGCTTCGACCCTGCCTTCCCCGACGATGTCAACAGGTTGAAAGTCGCCGGCGTCTCCTACATCGGCAACAAACTGGAGTTCACCATCACCAGAGAGGAGATCAGGATCCGAGTGACCGAGTCTCCCCAGGACCTTCCGGCGTCTCCGCTGGAAGCGGTGCTGGCGCAGTCGGGGCAGCGGTTTCCGCTGCGGGAAGGTACGGCGGCACCCCCCGGCTCTGTGACCGGAGCCGAAGGCGATCCGGGGGGAAGCC